TCCCTACAACAAGTCACTTCAGGTATACCTGGACTAGTTCATGCTCAGGCCGGTGTACCATCTGATCGGTACCTATCAAGTGTCACCCCAGGTACCCCACCATACACGCCTGGAAAGGCGACATGATTCGGAAATGATGCAGCAGCGTGGTATGGCATATGACGGTCAGTCTGACCATCAAAACGGATGTCCGAAAGAGAGTTCTGAGTGGAAAACAACAATTGGGGTATTATTAAACGCCGTTTACCGAAGGCAAGATATTAGCCAATCCAATTAATCCACGTCCTCGATCAAATCATCATATCCGCTGTTCATTACGGGTATTGCCTCATTTCCTCCGTCCAACTGATCACTTCCGCTATGTTGGCTGATGTCGTCGTCCAAATCCTGATATTCCTACTTAGCATCAGTTTCGGTGTCGACAACGTTCACGTCTCCTGTGCGACCGGGGTTACGATGATCTTCGCCCCCATGACGGCCGGGGAGTCCGCGTCCTCGATGTCGGGATAGATGTTATTTACCAGAAATTGTCCGACCTGCCATGACTACGACTTTGTTAGCTATCAGCACTCTCATTTGACTGGAGACACGCGACGTACCAGAAGCCCGCCCTCCACATAATGCCTCCACCTCTCTGAAGACCCCAGGTATACCAAGATCTCCCATGGCAGTTCCTCGCTATCGAACTCCCAAAAAGTCATGTACTGGTACACTGACGCCTTGTCTACTTGTTTGTACTTTTCGTCCTGGATGAGCGAAGCGTGCTCGAGCTTGAAGATGCGCGTGCGAAGAAGTCCAGGACTCTCGAGCATACCGGGCGTAAACTCCTCTCCGAACCACTTTACGAATTCGTCGTGAACCTCTGGCGCGGGCTGCCAAAGGACTACGACCCACATTTGGACATCGCGGGGATCTGACGCAAGGTGTTAGCTTCCATGGTGCATCCTTGTATCATGAGCTTGAGTATAACATACCTCCGCGCCACTCTTCTCCAAACCAGTTCTTATGCTCTGTGTAGAACCGTGTGTCTACCTTCGCCTCATTCGGAAGTTTGTCCAGCGCAGGGCATATCCGCGCATCCAGGTCTTGCGCGCTTGGTTGTTTTGGTAGGTCGTAAATGGTCATGAACCTGCCATCAATCCCAGGTACTTCCTGGAATGGGCTGTCTTCCACTTGCTCTGCATGTCTGGCGGTGGACCTGATCTTCACCAGGGCGTCGGGTATATGCGTGGTTTCGTACCAGTGATAGGCATCGTTAGCATCCTCGCCTAACTCCGCCCAGGCACAAGCAATTCTTGACATGATTTCTTTTTGCGAGAGTTGGTAATTCAGTTCCGCGGACGTGGTCAAGAAGGATGAATGCAGAAAGGTAGGTGAAACTTGACAGAGCAAGAGAGCAAGGTAACACAGCGGTCAGCATAAGGAGTACGCGCAAACAGAGCACACCTGGACTGTGCCACGAAAGTTTTGCCCTGCATCCCTGAACCATGTGCCCTTCAGCAAGGGTTACTCCGTCGGGGCAAGTAAAGCTGTGAGAATTTCCCCAATCAGTATGGTGTCGTGGCGGCCCGTATCCGCCTGACTGCGGCCATGAGGGTGTGTCCGCAGTACCGCCGGGGAAGTTCGCATTGCCGAAAGCTAATTTCGCGACTACTGCCAATAGTCACGATCAGTGTAGTTCGCGAGCTGATCTCAATCAATGCGAGGCAGACTGCGAATCTTAAATGATGATCCGCTGGAAGGAGTCGGAGGCAGTGGTAGGTCGAGTCATGTGAATCACCGATGCGCCGGGAGTCGGACATGGGTCGTACGCAGGAAGACCGAACGGGTGATCACACGGCCGGAAGCAGAAGCGCGCAGACAGGAATCAGGTAAGTTAGCCAGCTGATTAGCATGTATTGGCTCGCTGAAAGTAGATAATGCTTTCGATTTGAGCTGTGCAGGATCGCTTAGACAGCATGAACGCCACGTAGTAAACAAGACATGGCAAGACTGCGCCGTAACCCGAAACCTCCTCGTGCGTATCTCCCACGTGGCGCCCCAGACTGTGCGACATATGACGCAAGTGTTCGCAGCTCTTACATGGCGTTTCTCTCTTCCAACGGAATCGTCTTCCCTTCCAATGAGGCTTCCCTGACGCGCACATGCCCATCTCTTCCTTTACAACAAGATACCGTCCCCAATGTCGATGTGCATCTTCTTCTCATGCACATCTCTCTTGTCCCTCCGCGGAAAACCATGAATAGCCCGTTCACAACCCAGAGCGCGGCATTGAAATGGACGATCGTCCAGATGAGATCCTCGGTAGTGGCGTCGGAGGTCCGGCATGCGTGAGTACTTCTTGTTGCAGCCAGTATGCGTGCAGATGTAGACTCTCTTGGTCTCGACTCGGAAGGGGATGTCTCTAGTGTTACTAGTAGGCGTTGTGGTGCTGTGTATCGCTGCGTTGCTTGCGTAACCGCGATCTCGAACAGTATGTTTGGATCCGGAAGACGCAGCTTCTTCGTTCAGATCTGCTATTTCTAGCATGGCCTGCTCCACGTTCCAGTGTTTTCCATATTCCTGAGGAATATGAAGATCGTGTGTGAGTGTCTGTTCGTGAGGAACACCGGTCCAGGCTCCATGGTATGTATAAGGTTGCAGCAACAAGACCGAGTCATCGACGATATTTTGTCCGTGAGCAACAGTATGTTGGCATGAGATGAGGGATCTGTATAATCTAGATGGGGGCACGATCGCGACTTGGGTTCAAGGTTCACAGTATTGCATACATGCTAGGCGCACCACAAATTTGCTATCCAATAGACATAAGAGAAGGTGCATAGCGGAGGAATTTCCCGAATGAGAGGGCTCTCATTCATAAGATCCGGGAACGGACTCCGCTATGCTGTAAGAAGAAGAAAGAAGTAGGCCTGCGACAGGCGTTATCCATGGGAACTAAGAGATTCTCGTAGCGTCGGAAATGCTACAAGGCTGTAAACATTTGAAAGACAGAGGAAAAGAGAAATGAGATCAAGACCAGAAAGAGTCGATGCGGCATGCCCCCACCCACATGGGTCAGTATTAGTACAAGGAATCGTAGCTTCGAACAACATACGATGTAGAGCTTTCATCAGGTTTCGGAATGTTGTAGCAGTTCTTGAGCGACCCAGCACTAGCCACCGCGGTTCGTGCTGAGGTCGCTTCATGGTTCGCCGTCCGGTCCCATAGCTCCGAAGATGCCGTAAGCCAGCCGTTGTCTGGTTGTTCAGGGCGTATGCCTGAGTGAGGCTCGGTTTTGAGTACATGAGGGGTACGCAAGCTGGGCGTCAGGACATCTCGATCGAACAAATGTTCGTCCATGTATGCGTGGGATGACATGCTGAGAGGGTGCTGGTCGACCGTGCTGAAGAAAAGAGGATAGTATGATATCGGACCGCAGGTCTGAAGGTGGGAAGTGAATATATACTATCTGAAGGTGATACTTCAGCTGTAACTCTAACAAACGAGAGAAGTCGCAAGTATAATATACTGGTTCAGCTGTGTTGTCCTTCCATGCATACGCCCCTCTGGCTGAGGGGCCACGCCACGTAGGCTCACAAAGCCACCTACTTTTCGCAGCCTCATTCTGCGCCGGCTGTGCACAGATGTATAGGCCTCTTGGAGGGAACAATCGACTGCAACAAGCATTCCTTTTGCGCTGCACCGCTCGCGCGATGCAGTCAACTCAGCCGCAGCCCTGGAGTGGTCCCAGAGATGGCTAAAATTCGTGTCGCGGTCTTGAACATAAATTAAGGCAGAGGTGTGAGTTTTCTGGCCAGCTATGTACCAACTACTTACTTATTAGGACGTGGGTGTATGTATGCGACACGACTTGTAGCCAGCAGGTACTGTCTGGGATGTCGCAACCACAGAGTGGGGCGGCGCAGTTTACCCCCGCCCGAAGGCAACAGCGCCTGGCACCACCTGGACATCTCCTCTTCATCCCATTCACTCCAGGCCAACCACACATCAACGTCGGTCGGCTTGTGCCCTCACCCCACGCCCCAATGCGAATACGAATTCGTATGTCACTACATACTAAATCACGTATCTAAGGGATATTTCCAGGGCTTCTTAGCAAGCTTGCTCGCCAGGTAGAGCTCGTGGACCTGTGCCGTACACTTCTCTCCGCGGCGACGCTGGAGCCATGAATCGCCACAGGTACATCAAGGGGCGCGTCTTTCAGGACCCTACTGAGTAAGGCCCGTGTCAGCAACTTTCTTACCGCGGAACAACTCACCTACGATGCGTCGTCGTGAACTTGTCTAGTATATTCGGTCGCGCTTCGATACTCAAAGTTCACATTTGTTCCTTGATCCGAGTAGGTCAGACTCTGGCCCTTGATACGCAGATTGAACCTTCGAAGTCACTTCGTCGTCGTGGTCCAGCATGTGTACGCGCTTGCTTCTAACGCGCGTCCCAACCTAGCGCGCATTATTATCCGATGCGCAACCTCCAACACCGGTAGGCAATACCTTCTATATTCGTTCTGTTTTATCAATTTGTTTTTCGGCCGAACTTAGCAGTTCAATGAATCTTCCGAAAATCTCGTAGTAAGCTTCACGCGCGGCTACCAATCAGTTTACCACGGTACCTGCCCAGAAGGAGTGATGGCTTTCACGATTGCCCTATCGAACTGACCCTTTGCCTTCGACTCACGCCTGACCCATTGTGTCGGGAACAAGGATGCTAGTGAACTACATTTCCTTTGTTCCACAATGTTGGAATTGGTGGAGAAGCGGGAAAGACCAAGGGCGCTCCTTAAACTAACAACGGCGACAAGTTGGTGAGGCGCGCAATTCACGCATTTTCACGGTAGTCTACCAGTATCTGAAGTCCTATAAGATCAAAGTCTACAGTATGGAATTCCGTACCTCATCTGTTGTTCATCGGATCGAATCACAACAATGTTGCGCAACACTCTTTCAACAGCGACCGCCATAGCGGCCTGCGTGGCTACCGCCCAGGCTTCTTTGAATATGTCGGATTCATCTTTCAAGCTTTTCAAGTCTTCGTTGAGTCAGCTTGCGGAAGTCTACTTGCCAGGCTCAGAAGAATTTGCCAATGCCACTGTACGATGGGGCGCCGGGCAGACTCCGCACTACGATATGATCGTAAAGGTTGCGACGGAAGAAGATGTTCAGGAGGCTGTCAGTAAACTCATACCATGATAAACTTTTCCTATAGCTAACCTCAGTCCAGATCCTCTATGCCAATGCCAACGATAAGCCCTTCCACGCCATCTCGGGGGCTCATGCGACGACAACATACCTCAACAACATCACAAACGCCGTTGGAATCTTCATGCGCGGCATGAACGATATCTTCATCGTCGATGATGGCGACACTGCTTTGATACAGGGCGGTATCCTCAATGGAGACGTCATTGACTTCCTGGGGCTCCATGACAAGCAAACAATGACAACAGCATGTGCCTGTGTAGGCTACGTCTCCCCTATCCTCGGAGGAGGCCATGGCTGGAACCAAGGACGTTACGGCCTAGCATCCGATCAGCTCGTCTCCGCGCGTATGGTCCTAGCCAACGGTACCGCCATCACCGTCAACGAGAGCAGCCCAGACCTGTTCTGGGCGATACGTGGCGCTGGTCACAACTTTGGTCTAGTGACCCAGGCTGAGATCAAGATCTATGACAAGAAGCCAGTTGTGGATGGATGGGCCGTCAGCGGCTACTTCTTTACGCACGACAAGATGGAAGACGTTGTCGCAGTCGCGAATACTTGGATGACTGCTGCTAACAGGTCGGTGAGCTTGGAACACTATGTCGTCTTTTCTTTCGATCCAGAGGTAGACCCAGTGAACGTAAGTCTATATCCATTGCCTCAACACCGTCCAACTGCTAACATCACCAGCCCATCGTCATCATCTGGGTAATTTACCAAGGTGCCGACACTGTCCCAGCCCAATACACCGACCCCTTCGTCGCGATGTCCCCCATCAACACCGAATCAGGCATAACCGACCTCGGCGGCGTCAGCAGATTCACCGGCGCCGACAGCGACGGCCCCTCTTGCACCAAAGGCTACACCCGCTCCCTCGTCCCCGTCTCAGCAGACACATACGACGCACCTTCCCTTCGCGAAGTCATAGACATCATGACCACCTTCCCAGCCGAATTCCGCAACTCCGCTGTCCTCCTCGAAAGCTACAGCACCAACCGCGTCGGCGAGATACCCAGCGACAGCACCGCATACCCCGATCGCGATGGTCAGCTCCTCTTCTCCCCGTTCATGACATATGACAAGAACGCTAGTCTTGATGCACTCGCGTGGGACTACGCGGGTAAGATCCGCGACACGATGATCAACGGGACGAACAAGCCTTATGAGTCTTACATCAACTATGCGAGGGGTGATGAGACAACGGAGCAGTTGTATGGGTATGAGCCGTGGAGGTTGGAGAAGCTGAGGAAGCTGAAGAAAGAGTATGATCCTTTTGGCAAGTTTAATTTCTTTGCTCCGATTTTGGGAGAGGATGGGCAGCCATTGTAAGTTTGAGCTGTGTGACTAGGATATTTGGCTACGTACGCTGCCTTCGCTCGCTGTATACAATAATACATTCATTTGCTATGCGCCTTGCGTTTGCATCTGGCTTCGAACTGCTTTGTGATGCGTATGCAAGTAGCCGCGCGTAGTCAACCTGCGATCTGCGCTTATTCACATGCTTACTGAGAGCTCAATCCGCCACGCCCACACACGACGGCCTTTCCAATCGAATCGCTTGAATAGTGCCAGATGACTCTGCAGCTTCTCCTTGCGCGATCGACTTATACAGCGCATGCTGGTGTATGCGAGATGCCGACAACGACTAACCTAGACGCCCATCGTGGCTGATACATCAACGACGTAGAACACTCAGAGAAATTGCGGATAGATATATAGACCTGCAGTCCTATACTTGACAGTAGGATTATCATTCAATCTCTTTTAAAAAGACGCAACGATGTTCAGCCGCCCATTTGAGTTTACCGCATCTGCTGAAGACGACCTAATCCCACTCGTTGACTCTTCTTTCACTTTCAAGACGTATGCGAAAGAGAAGAACCCATTCGACGTTCTGACGGGTGCAATTACGCATGGTGATGAGGCACTTTCCGACGAAGCCATCTCTCCATCTAGCATGTGGTCGGCATCAAGTCGCCCAAGCAGCAGCCCGGCCACAGCACCAGAGACGAAGCTGCTAAGCGCCAACGTTACAGCTCGTCGCCCGCTCGCTAAAGCACATACGTTTCTAGAATACAAAGAGGAATCGCGCTCGAAAGTCCAGGGTCAAGTAGAAGCGAAAAAGACCATACTCGACCTTGTGCCCATCGGAGAAGCGCAGACCTTCAGACTAGACGGCTCTTTCATTTACGCCACCAAGACGCAGAACATCCCGCGATACCAGTTGCATCGAGACTTCGACCGCGACGGATCGGTATCCAAGTTGCATATCCGCGCAGTACATGCACGCGAAACGCGGTCATGTTCAGTACCAACCACACATACGGCACGCGACCAATCGATCCGCTACAGCAGCGAGGAAACGCTATATAGCATAGATGAATTCGAGATGCGCGGCAAGAAAACTGGAACACTCCCCGGAAGCATTCAGATGACGTCTGGGGAGTCATTGTGGGGCGGCCAATGGACGCGTATCTGGCATGTTACCAAATGTAAAGCTCGGCATCATGTGTGCGATTACAGAGGTGTATGTGAGCCCGAGAAACATCTTTTGTATTGCGTCAAGAAGGGTGTGTGGGAGGATGCTGAGGGGGTGGTTGTTGCGAGGGAAGAGACTGGGAGGGAGGGGCTGGGTGCTGCGAACGCGTCTCGGTCGTTGATGCAGGTGGGGATGGGACTCGAGAAGGGTAGAAAGGAACTTGTGCTGGAGATGACGGATGGAATAGAGAAGGATGCAAAGAGGCGCGATTTGGTAATGGCGTGCTGGGTGATGAAGTTGTCGACGGCGGAGGAACTCCGGTGGGAGGGAAATTGAACGCGGGAGAGACGCCGAAGAGAAGACGAGGCAAGGCGTCCAGTTTCAGGCCGGAGAACGATTGCAGATCTTTAGGAGTTACCTTGGCTGCTCGGTGAAACATTGCAATCGCGTTGCATGCGTACAGTGTCCTTGATGCAAAGATATTGAAGTGCATCACGTGATCTAATGAGCTACGCCAGCGGGCGCGCCCTCGACACGTGGTGACAGCTGTCAGAAGCCCCTGCATATTACAGTAGTTCTGTAGATACGATTTCAAGTCTCTAGCTGTTCTTTCAAAAGCAAGCATCTGCGTCAGCATTGCAGACCGAAAAATGGAGTTGGGCAGGTCAAGCGTCGTGATAGCGCGTCTTCCGGCGCGCCTGCTAGACCGAGCGCCACAGCCAAGGGGTGAGAGCCACCGCCTCATCCATCCATCATTCCCGGGATCATCGCTCAGAGGGGCATTCGCGACTTTTGCGATTGCAACCATCATGACTTGATTATTTTCACTCAAAGACTTTGTCTATTTCAATGCCCTAAAGAATCACAACCAAACCTCAACTTCCAAGTTTGGTGGTCGAAGCCCTATCGCCGCGATGCCGCTCATCACCCCCTCACGGCTCGCCATCATCATCGTCTCCTTTTCGCTCTTGACTTTCTTCTGGACTTTTGGCCTGCCGCAACAGACGCCCCAGCCGACGATACCCGTCATCGACCATTATGACCACAAGAATGTGCATACCGAGCCGATAATACCGCCGCCCGTCATCGAGACTCCGCACGCGACATCCACGCCGATAGCACACGGAGATCATCCGAAGGAGACAGATGATCACAGATGGGACGATAAGGGAGCGCAGGGTGGAAAGGCAAAGACAACACCGTCCGTGCCTGCTAAGACAGGCGTCGCGGAGTATGAGGAAGATGGCGGAAGATGGGAGGATAAAGAAAAGTTGAAGGGTGGTGATAAGTCGGGGAGCATGTCAGGCTCAGGCGCAATGGCAGCGCCTACAACACTGGCTACTGAGGCGATACCTGCGTCGAAGACTCCGATTGCGGCTAAGCCGGACGTTGCGCCTACGAAGCCCGCCGAAGCCGCCGTCCCTACACACGCAGTCGAGAAGTTCTGCAGCGACGCCGACGGAGCGAAAGACGTCATGGTCGTCCTCAAGACATCGAAGGCCGAGATCGAAAAGCTCAACAGCCACCTCAGCAATCTGCTAGCCTGCGTTCCCACCTTTGCCATCTTCAGCGACCACGCCGGCGAGTTCCAAGGGCACAAAGTACACGATGCGCTCGATTCGATCAGCGGCGAGACCAAGTTCAAGCACAAGGAGTTCCAGGAATACCAGCTTATGCATGCTGATGCAGAGCACAAGCCAGACACGAAGAAGCTGGAGGAGCTGGAAAAGTGGAAGTTCTTGCCCATGGTATACAAGGCGTACCACATGAACCCCAGCGCCAAGTTCTTCGTCTTCATCGAAGCCGACACGAGCCTGAGCTGGACGAACCTGTTACAATGGCTGAACAGGCTGGACTACCGGATACCGTACTACAGCGGAGCGCCCTACTACATCGCGGGCACGCAGGTGGCGCAGCGCGGAGCAGGCATCATGATGTCTCAGGGTGCTCTGCGACGGTACTCCAAATCTTACGATGAGCTCTACACAACCAAGTGGGAACCGGACAACGGCGAGCAATGCTGCGGCGACTTGATGCTAGCGAAGGCGCTTGGCGACGCACATGTGGAATTCTACGCTTCTTGGCCACTTCTTCAGAGTGAGCAGCCAAGTACACTTGACTACACCAGGAAACACTGGTGTGCTCCTGCCGTGTCATGGAATCACCTTGGCGGTGATCAACTCACGAGGCAGTGGGATATTGAGAAGAAGTGGACTACTGCGAACGGCTGGAAGAAGCCATATCTGTACCGCGACGCCTATCACGATTCCGTAGAACCGCACATCGAAACGCAAAAGGTGGGCTGGGATAACCTGAGTCAGGACACGAAGATCGTTGCGCCAGAAGGACGTCGGCAAAAGCTCAAAGACGACGCTGCGAAGAAGGAGAAGGAGAAGGAAGAGCAAGACGCCGAGAAGAAAGAGAAAGAGAAGGGAGAGCAAGACACCGCCAAGGAAGAGGCGAAGCCCAAAGAAGAAGACAAGACCCAGCAAGACGACAAGAAAGAGCCCGCAAAGCTCAAACTCGACACCGCCCCACCACCCGACTCCCGCGTCTTCCAAGAAGCCGGCGCCCTCCCCACCTCGAACAGCATCTCCAAGCGCGAAGACAAGAAAGACGACAAGAAAGACGACAAGAAGGACGACAAGAAAGGCAAGGAAATGAAGGAAGACAAGAAAGAGCCACCAAACTGGGACAAGCTCGCCGAGAAACACCCCGATGCAGCAGATAGCTCCGAGCGCTGCCAGGCCGTTTGCTCAGAAGTCGAAGATTGTTTGCAATGGCGGTATACGGCCAAGGGGGAGGGAGAGTGCCATCTCAGCAAGGTGATTCGGCTGGGTGGGAAGGTAGGGGATGAGGAGTGGACGAGTGGGTGGGACGTTGAGCGGATTAATGGGATTAGGAAGGAGTGGGCGTGTAAGGAGGTTAAGTGGAGGTTTTATCAGTGAGGAGGATAAGATGGGATGGATGGGTAGATTCAGGAAAAGAATGGCGTTTTTGGTGTTTGTTTATGGGAATTGGGATTGAGATGAGGGCTTTTGTATAGTTTTGAGCTACTCTGAAGGTTCGGAAACTTTGGAGGACGCGAAGTGGTTGTATATACCCTTTTTTGTTAATGTATATGGTTAAGGCATGCTGCGTATCATGAGAATGTGGATGGCCACGACAAATGTCTTTGAGCTCGAGGAGTTGAGTGAAGGTGGTACCGCACACATGAGGTGGGTCTAACTTTTCACAACCACGGTTGTGTTCTGTCGCTACCACGTCACGCATGGAAAACTACCAACAACTCGTTCACTATATGTACGTCGCCGCGTATGATATTCACTTCTCGCTTTTCTCCATCACAAACAGTGTCAAACGGCGCCACTTTCACTTTTCGACAACGACAACTTGTTCGTTCATCAACCTACATTACACAACTGCTTCTCACTTCTACCTATTGCTTGGCATTACTCAAGAAAGGTACAACTAGCTTTCATAAAAACGGGAAGTTTCACTGACAAACTTAGTCCTTTCAGATAACCGACGATGCTGCTAGCTAGACTCTTCGGTCATTCCCAGATGCGAGCCCTTTACGGACGGTTTCCTCCTCCCAGAGGCTCAATAATCTTTGGATTGGCATGCTGCTGGGGTCAATGGAAGATGGACAGGGCACGACTGGAAAGGCGGAAAGGAAAAGTCGCGAACATAATGGGAGGGGTGTAGACGACGGAACCGACAATTTAAACCTGGAAGCCCATCATCAGATCCCCCAAAATAAAGGATAAACATCGTCCAAACGTCTTTAGCCTCCCGAATATGTTCCTGGAGCATACAAGTAAACTTAAGCACCCCACCGTTCTTGCCTTCCTACGCTTGACCTGGAACGGCAGGCGCGATACGCCTTCTTGGCTACTTTCCTTCTGCCGGCATATCTATCATGGGTACCGCATCATCGAGTTCTTAACCAAAACCGCTCGCGAAATAGATTCTGTACGCTCACCTTCCGCATACCATGGAGTCCAACGCCCTCTCCCAACTCAGAGCCCTCCTAGCGGCCGTCCCAACCCTCCGCGCTCAACTAAGCAACGCCGAGCGCCTCCAACTTAGCGGTCTCGCCGAAGCGCTTAGGAAAGAATTGGAAAGATCAGATGAAGCTGTCTTTCGGGTGACGTTTAATGAAGTACGTCTCCTAAGTCGTGATGGCCTTTCTGGGTATGCGGGGTTGTAGCTACTGCATCTGGTCGACTAGCGCTAACCACGAACGGAATGCACTCAGCCTGGACATTATCTCGCTATTCGACTTGCTTTACAATGGGGAGTTTTCGAGGCGTTGGGTGATGTTGGTGAGAAGGGCGTGTCGTGTGGGCGGATTGCTGAGGGCGCGGGGGCGGATGTGAGGTTGGTTGGTATGTATGCACTATCGCAAACTTTAACAAATGCCCTCAAGATTGGCATGCGGAACTATTTGAAGGGACTGGAAATCTTTATCTTATGAAGGCATACTAATGAAGAACGTACAGCACGCTTCCTACGCCATCTAGCAGCAAACGGCACGATCCGCGAAGTCGATCATGATACCTATGCAAGCACTCGGCTCTCAGCGTCTATGAGGCAAAAGTCGTTCAAAGATGCGATCCATTTCATGTAAGCCCCAAATACCACTCTTTCATGCGTACATTGGTCTTCCTACTCATACCACACCCACAACAGGTTCGACGACTTCTACAACGTAGGCTGGCGCGTCCCCTCGTTTCTCGACTCAATCTCCCACCGCAACCCATCAGATATCAACAACGGCCCATTCCAGCACGCCCATGGCTTCTCTAATAAGTCGCTGTACACGTATTTCGACGAAGACGCAGCTATGGGAGAGCGCTTCGGCGGCATGATTCAAATGTACAACGCCGGCAAACCTTTCTTTTGGGAAGACAAGTACTACCCGTTCAGAGAGCGGTTGGTGGAAGGCGGACCTGTGTCTGACGATGATGTGCTACTTGTTGACATTGGAGGTGGCGATGCGGGCGATTTGGGGATGTTGAGGAGAGCGCTTGGGGAGGATGTCAAAGGTCGACTTGTGCTGCAGGAGTTGAAGCATATTGTTGATAGGAGCGAGCAAGATGGGTTTGAAGCACATGTTGGGGACTGGAATGAGGTGCAGCCGATCAAAGGTACGTCTCTACGGTGGCATCACAATCCTACGTATAAGGCACTAACGGTTCTTCAAAGGCGCGAGAGCATACATGCTCCAACACGTTCTCCATGATTTCAGTAGCGACGACGCATGTCGCAACATCCTGCGCAATATCGTCCTCGCTATGAAGCCCGGTTACTCCAAGCTTCTCATCAAAGAGCTTCTCATACCCAATCGAAACGCACCGTGGGCATTTACGGCCATGGATGTCAACGTCATGCAATCACTCTCTGGTCAAGAGCGAACTGAGTCGCAGTTTCGCGAACTACTCGAGTCGGTGGGACTCAAGATTGAGGGTATTTGGAGTCATGAGAACGCGTTGGACGTTGTTATTGAAGCCTCTCTGCCTTAGAATGACGCCTCTCCCTATCTACACCAGTTCTCAATCGTTACCAGATGGCTCTTTACTCGATATAACATACTTCCTCCATCCCTCCTCCGTATCCGCTTCCCTCCAAGTCTCCATATCACCCACCACCCCATTCTCATCGACTTTCCAGTCCCCTCTTTCCACCATACCCAGCCAACTCTCCAACACCTCCGCCAGACTCTGCGCCTGAAATTCTTCAAGCGCCCTTCGTCCAGGCTGAAATAACTCTGTGAAGCTGTCTTTCCCACGCCAATCCTCTCCACCCGCGAAATTTGTTCCATCGCCTCTCTTCGCATACCCCTTACCGCCAATAGCGTACGGCAGAACGAATGAAATACCATCTTCCAGACTTCTGTGATTGGTAGGCAGTAGGTACAAGCCAGAAGGGTAAGTCTTGATATCGCGGTAGTCGAAGAAATTCGGTACCATGGCGTCTTCTGGACTTTGCGGAGTCCAGGTTGGGTCTTCGAAGAAGTTTAGGTCGGACTTGGAGAGTAGTACGGGTAGCACTTCTTCTTTGTCTTTGGACATGTAGGAGCGGAAGAGTTGTTCTGGAAAGTCTGCGGATGTGATAATGCGGAGACCGGGAGCTATCATCTTGAAGCGAGGCCGGCGGGCGCGGAAGAGAAAGTTGTATGCGAATCGCTGAGGGATGTCTATTTTGTCACGTATGTTGTCGTCCAACAGGCCATATGCAGGTGGGTCGGCTGCTTGTGATCTACTGGCTGCAGGCATGCGGCTCTCAATCGCGTCAACGAGCTTCTCCCATACATCGAGGTTGTGCTTGAGCATATTCTCACTGTACGGCGCGAAAACCCAAGGCGCGTGTTCCCAATACTCGTCGAATACTTCAGGCCATTCTTCACGAAGTTTGCCGCCTTTGTCTGGTAGGGCCTGAATAGTCTCGTTACGGATCTGAGAGAGCCAGAAGGTAAGTACGGCATCTAATGGGTACCATACCTGAGTACTGATATCGTCGGTATCGTGTATAGTGAGACTGAGAGTACAAAGATTGGTCTTCTGGTCATATCTGTCTTTGTGAGCTCGTTGTTCCAGTATAACAGCAACATGAAGTCTCTCACATCAACCCACAGATATGCCCTGTATCGAAATGAGCCGCAGCATACAGGACTAAGCGCCTTCCCTCATTATCCTCTTCCTCCTCGTCACCTTGATCTTCCTCGATACCTTCCTCTTCCTCATCACCTTCCCCCTCCTCATAACCTTCCTCCTCATAACCTTCCTCCTCCTCCTCACCATTCCCCTCCTCCTCCTCCTTATCATTCTTGTAGTCGTAATCCCACAACATATCTTCAAACTCGAACATATACTCAGGATGAGACTGGCCCTGAACCCAGTAGAAGAACTCAGGGTAGAATCCATCTTCTTCTACGCGCGAAATCTGGACTTGCTCAAGGAATTGGACTAGGTCGGGTGAGAGTGCAGACCGTTCGGCTTCGGCTTCCTCGCCGAATACTTGGAACCAGGATTTGCTGTGCGAAGCAAGTGTATCTGCGGAGCGGCCTGAGCCGACCCAGCCATGCCGTACGATTTCGTTGTGGAGAGAGATGCAGCGTTCGACGTTCATGGCTGATGGAACGATGGGGCATCGAGGGAAGGCAAAAAGAGATGTAGGAAGCGGGTTACAATACATGTCTGGGCTACCGGCTCTTTCTATGGCAATTGCGATTGATAGCTTTATCGAGAAAGATGCTCCGCAAGACTACAGCGCATAGACGAAGACCTAGGCTGGAAAGGAACTAGTAGCCAAGACGGGCGGCTCGGAAGCGAAGTTCAGGAGAAGAAGGTAGCAGATGCTGAATTTGTAGTGATGAAGCACCCAAATCAAGTAACGCAAATGGTCCCGGACATGAATCTAGTGTCCATGTACCATAGACTTCTCCGGATGATATCCAGTACTTTTGCTCCAGTCCTCATCCCAAGCGACTACCATGTCATGCTTTTATCCGTACTCATCTTTCCGAAGCTGATGTCTCATCCATGCTCTCAGGTACTCAGACGAGATACTCCTGCGCCACCAAGACCTTCTCACGACGTTTTTCAAGTGACATGAGCGTCCCCTCCATGAATTTGACCCTGGTGTCGGACGGCTGGTCGCTTATGAAAGAAAACCATGAGTCCAAGTCTGCCAGATCAACAACGGCTGCATCACCCCAGTTCCGGATGACCAAGTCCATCAGCACCCAATCTAGAACGTCGCTAGAGTCTGTATATCCCCAAACAAACAAACACAAGGCTAATGTGAGTTGTGGCTGCTTTGACTTGCGTGCAAGAGCGGCAAGGAGGCGTTCCATAGCATAGTTCTGAAACCCGGGTATTTGTAGCATGTCGCCCAAGAGCCAAGCCAGTATCGCAGCCTTGACTGCCCACTCCATTGTGTCTTTCCTGTCGGTGTTGTACATGGTCAGGTTCGGAATCGGGGATTCATTAAATGCAATGACTAGACCACCCAGCTCGGTGTACTTTCCAACGTAGAGCCACTGTACGAATAGACCAAGTACCTCGGAACAGTACAGTCCGGGGACCAATAATTCCAATTCTCCAGACTTGGACCGACGGTATTCTTCGCTATGGTCGGGGCGATAGACAGAACGTAGCAGCTCACGTGGCACGTAAACGGAACCGGGGCTGGCGTTCGTAGGGTGTACACATATCTTGATGAGTATATCCGTTCGTTGTGCACTGTCAAAAACGGTTTAGTCGAGTGAACTTTGGGGAAGACAAAAGCCACTCACAAAGCGACCAGATGCTTTCCTTGCGGACAAGTATCAAGCGAAGGCGGTTCGTTTCCTGTAGCCGACATCTCGGCATGGGTTCTCTTGGGTGGCATACTGTTGTCCGACTCTGATGTCGATTCGATCGTAGAGGTAAGGTAAGGTGGTGTGTAAGAAGTGGGATAAGAATGAGGTCCTTTAAGTATATAGGCCCCCGCAGGCTTCTGTCTCCCACCTGCCTGTCGAGCGGTGGCTTCCTGGACAGTGAGATAGCTCAATCTTACCTTGGTACTGGAATGTCACCATTCGTAGCATGATTGATGGCACTCACCTCACAAATGGGGCAACCTCACCCTAGATATCATTTCGTTGCGTCTTCGGTAATCAGGCAATGTTCCAGAATGCGACACAAATTCAAATGAACATCAGCTTTTGAACGCAACGGCCGACATTTTCTGGAAAAAAGCGAAAGCAGACTACCCTGGAAGCAGCGAGAGTCCAGAGTTGTCATGCGAGAAACTCTCGCCGTGCTCACGAAAGGTTTCTCAAGCGCCGGATCTGCGACTGTGGTGCAAAATCGAATTGAGGCGATAGTGATTTGTGGTATGCGCATGATCGGAAGCGATGATGGTAGAGCCCATCAGGAATGCACAACAATGGTGGTGAAGTCGTCGCAAGGCCGAGCCGTCAGATCGCCTTCCCGCCCCGAACGCGCCAAGACCCAGAACACCTGACCGCGCGCCTTCCCATCCCCCCATCACCAATACAACCCTCATCTCTGTACCCTGAATCAAATCCCAAAAACAAGCTTCCCTCAACAAACGCATCACCACGTACTCAATTAAATCAAGTCCGTCAACCAACGTTTCAAGCCCAGCCTCACCGCCAGTAACGCCGGCATCCCAGCCACGCCAGCCCCTCCGGCCCATGGACGCGACCCAACCACCCACGCGGCGCACGCACCCCGCCACGTCTGTACAAAAGTGCCTGCATGCCACCTGCAGAATGGACTACGACTTGGCTTGCAGATTTCCTCGCTGATATTATTAACTCATTCCCCTCACATACACCCTTACCATACTCTTGTACTTTTCGAGTTCCTTCGTACTACGATTTTACTATCGCTATCCTTGGTCATTCGATTGCTTCCGGGATACCATCGCTTGACTACTGAGTGTTGCTTGGACGATAGCGAGCTTGGACACCACCACGACCGCGTTATACAAAACCATTGATTGTTTGCGCTGAGATTACAGTGCGCATACAATTACTACGACGTTTACGAAGGACGATTTGCTGACTTTACTATAGGAGACTATTGCATCGCATCACTACACACCACCACCACCACCACCACCACCACCACTCCAACTACTTCTACCACAACCACCAACGAGACCCCCTCGTTCCCACCACCCACAACCGCAACCATGCAGCGCAACATCGTCATCTTCCTCATCATCCTCATCCTTTTCATCCTGATTGCCGCCATCGCATACCTCATCTACTACCTCCAGACGCGCATGGCTGTCGGCGGCACTGCGTCGTCTGTTTCGGATATGACTGAGAATGTGTAGACGCCTCACCACATCACATCACAACAAACCACACCACAAAACACAACACAACACAGTACGGAGAAACGATACAACAAGAGAGAAGAGGAACAAAAGAGACATTTTTACGACGATATGAATACAGTACAACACAAGACAGCACATCACCGGAGATAAGGACGATGTGGTTCGCATTTACACCGGCGTTATAGGCAGTCGCATGGCTATGCGACTTGCGCCTTGGAGTTTGAACTTATAAGAGAACGAGAACGAGATAATGCGATTGAAGATTGAAGAAGGCATGTTGAATTGGCATGGTATGGACTGGGCCGAATTGGGATACCCGCAACGTTATTACGTTACCTATTGTTATGTTGGTATATACAATTGCGCATGGAATGGAATGAATCACATACTCAAAGTTACTTAAAACCATTTCTCTTGATTGCCTCGTCTGTGAACTATTTCGACTTGATTTGACTTGGGCCTTTGGTCATAACTTGGGAGAGATAACGTAGTCCAAGACAGGCGCATGCCAACCACAATGGTGTGCTGACATGGACTTGCAAGGCACGCGATCATGTTCACTGGGCGTTGTAGGTCATGTCTTAGGCGTATGTATAAACGTTGTAGATTTTGAACGATACCAGATACACGGCACAAACTGGAACCGCTTGAACGAAGCCTTGATACTCCAGTATTCCCTTTCCGTACCTATCCAAAGAAGTTCTTATAATACATTCAGTGCCTATACGCCATACACAGCAGACACATGTGTACCCTTTTGCAGCTGATCAGGGTCCTCCTCAGCCCCCAAGCGCATCATAGGATTGGAAGATGAAAACTGCTCCGTGGGTATCAACCGGGACACTTTCGGCGATTTGAGCAACGGTAGAGGAGGTGTGATGGGAGATACGGTCGGCGACTGGAGGAACGATAGAAGAGGTGTGATGGGTGACCATGTCGGGGAACAGAAGTTTTTGGGTAGCATCTTCGCGTATGGCATCGCGGGGGCGAAGTCGAACCGAACTTCACCGGAAGGGAATATCTTGATCGGCAATTTCGGTTTCGGGTACTACTCGGCTTAAGCGGATTAGTCGTCGTTCATCACTGTGTCGTTGGTGTCGTCACCGTTTAGAGGCTCGTCCACGTTCTCGGTGAAGACTAGGTGGCTTTCGTAGTATTCGAGCATCTGCGAGATGTTAGTATGGTGAATGATTTCCAGAGAGCTTTTTTGTTTGACGCACCTTTTGTGGACACTTTTGGTAGACGTGCTTGAGAGGATGCTGTGTCTTTTGCTTATTCGTCCACACCAAGTATGCAAACTTCTCCAGTTGGCCCGTCTTGGGGTCCTTCGTTTGCTCCACCGTGTCGATGTGGTCGACGTCGTGTTCCCATGAGCCTGGCGGTGGGCTCCATTCTGCCACTTTCTTCTCTGGCTTGTCTGCCTTGGCGCGCTTCGTGGAGGATGACGGGGTGCCGGACTCGGATTTGATGCCGGCGGTCGATGGTCGTCCCTTCCGCTTCTGGCCCTTGGGTTCTGGTCGGCCTCCGATCTTCTTAAAGTACTCGTTCAGCACATCAATGGCTCCCTCCCTGCGACTGTCAGTCTCAACCTAGTACAGAGGGATGTCGCAACGTACATGTTCTCCTCTGCCTCCCATGTCCGGTCCTTGGGGTCGTCGTAGCCTTCCCATTTCACGTCGAATTGGAGGACGCCCTGGTGTTGTCAGTGTTTGCGCGTGGGAAAGAGGTGGTGTTTGCGCGCACCTTTGTGAATCTGTGGCCGTGAATCGCCTCAACGACGTATCTGTCGCATTGTCAGCACGATGTGATCCATGTACATATGGATATGCGCGTACTCGTCCTCTCCCACCTCACTGTCATCCTCGTCCTCTTCGTCGTCTATGGGATCCTCCTGCACCGGCTGCTTTCCCTTTCCCTTTCTTGGCTGCGCGGGGACGTCTTCGGCGTCCGAGGACCCGTGATCGCTAAGAGCAGCTGCGCAAGTTAGCAGCTGGATATTACGCGTATGGTGATTGTTTGGGCGGGCGGGCGCGACTCACGAGGCATGTCGAAACGCGGTCGCTAGAAATGGAGAATGGATATGACGGGATATATAGCTTCGTGGAGCTTGAGGCGATTCGGATAAGCGCGATTGGAAGGCCGCGATGCGCTGGGGATGGGTGTGGTGGCGGCTCGGGGCAGCAAGCGTCAGGGCAGCTCGGAGAGTTGGAGCTGGCGGACGGCGCGTTCGCGACTCGCGGCCGTGCACCCTGATGCCAAGCCCTTCTGGGGAAATTTCAAGACCGACATGGCAGCTGTTTGGCTATACCCCACCACCCCTCACTACCAAACATACCCGGGATTCCCTCCTAGTGTGTGTCTGTAGTCTGATACTTCTTCGGAGTCGTGCATTTGTTACTTCAGCGGGCATTTTCTCACCGCAAAGATGCGTAAGTGCGGGCAGCAACAGCTCCGAACTCCCAAACCCTCAGTAGTGAGATACATATGCTAACATTATTAAACTACAGAGGTCGACCTTTCCAACGGTATGCGTCCGAATCTACTACAAATCGCCCGCGAATCAACGACTGACATAGTGGGGTATAGCGCAGGTGATGAAGGATGAATCGGGCAGGCCATTCATCATTGTCAGAGAGTACGTGGAATGATATGGAGAAAGCTTAAGGCTCTATAAGAGACAGCAGCTAATGTCTGGGGCAGTCAAGGCAAGAAGCAGAGGCAACACGGCAACGATGCGGTCAAGTCCCACATCCTCGCGGCCAAGACCGTCGCGAACATCGTCAAGAGCTCTCTGGTACGCAGCACCGCCCGAGACGGAGGAACAAGGACATGAACTCATACTATTTAGGGACCCCGAGGACTGGACAAGATCCTGATTTCACCCGACGGAGACATCACAGTCACAAACGACGGCGCCACCATTCTCTCCCAGATGGAAATCTCCAACCACGTCGCGAAGCTACTAGTCGAACTATCCAAATCACAAGACGACGAGATTGGTGACGGAACAACTGGTGTCGTAGTCTTGGCGGGCGCGCTTCTCGAGCAGGCAGCAGACCTTATCGACAAGGGCATCCACCCCATCAGGATAGCAGACGGGTACGACCAGGCTTGCGAGGTTGCCGTGGCCAAGCTCGACGAGGTCAGCGACGAGATCCACTTCTCCAAGGACAACACCGAAGAGCTATTCAAGGTCGCAAAGACAAGTTTGGGCAGCAAGATCGTTTCCAAGGCGCACGACCAGTTCGCCAAAATCGCCGTAGATGCTGTGCTTTCGGTCGCAGATCTCGAGCGGAAAGACGTCGATTTCGAGCTCATCAAGGTTGACGGCAAGGTCGGTGGATCGCTCGAAGACACATTACTTGTCAAGGGTGTCATAATAGACAAGGACTTTTCGCATCCCCAGATGCCGTCCGAGGTCAAGGACGCCAAACTCGCCATCCTCACATGCGCATTCGAGCCACCGAAGCCCAAGACCAAGCACAAGTTGGACATTACCACCGTAG